TCAGGCTTGCAAAGCGGCGCAAAAAGTTCTCAGCTTACAACTATGTAATTACCCTTTCAAGCCATTCATGATCCGCACTTCCTGAAATACGAATATGGGCTCCTTCATTCATCAGTTTGGAGAAATTATTTTGAAAATCTCCTTCGTTAATTTGCAATAATCTTTTGCATCAGGATCGCTTACAAGAGAATCTCAAATATTATTGAACGTGCAGCGTTCAGAACAAACTTTTTAATTTATTTTAACTCATTAAGTTCTTAAATTAATTAAATGAATTACAGCTAAATTCTGACTTCGATAATTTTTTTAATGATACACATTTAAAAATGAAATTGTAATCAAACAAATATATTTAAAATCTTCAATTAAGGAGAAATAACTTGTTCTCCGTATCCATATCATTATTAGACACTAAATTATAATTTTTCTAGTCATTATACAAATTAATTCTTCATTAAAAGTTAAACTTTTCGTATGCATTGTAAAGAAAATTTTTTTCTTGCAGTTTTAGTAAAACCACGTAATAACCACTTAAAAGAGAAAAATCTAGTTTTATATAAAGACAGACACTTTATTAATATTATTTTATAGTTTACTAAACATAATGGAACATGTATAAAAATTTAGGATGATTATATTTTTCAAAACTGTATGGTTTTGCATCGAATGCTTTCCGCAGCAATGTTGTACTTTAACCTTTGGCGATGCAGTTTCAATTATTATCCATTAATCTAAACAAAATCTCAGTTTTACATATTTGAAAATTCTTTCCATTTTTTTTCTATTTAAAGAAGCTCAAAGTGTCAAAACTTTTAAAGTACATTACATTAATTTTGTAAGACACATAATTGATACTATCCAATTGTAATTTAAATATTCTTATCACCTGAAAGTCAAATTAAGTCTGATTTGAATAACATGATTGACTTCAACTTGACGCGTTGGAATTGTTCTAATGTTTGAGGATTCGAAATTTATCTTTATATTATGACATTTCTCCCCAAATAAACGATTGCATAAATAAATGTGAGACAGGACTTTTATGTAGAAAGTCACGAAAACGACTGAATTGACTGCCGCTTTCTTGACAATGAAAGTAAATCTTTCCGATCAGCGCACAAAAAGTGATGATTTAAAAGCGGCGTGTTCAGCTCGACGGGAGGTTCATTAAGCAAAAGAGATTTGCGCGTCGAGGCCAAAAAACGTTTTCGGCGCGGGTGCGAATCATTAATCCTGCAGGCTCGCAGATAGGGAAGGTGTTTGTATTGCGGCGGATAACAATCGGCCTCGTTCATCATCTGCCACCGCGAGTTTCGCATCAAGACAAACCTTGCGAGACCATTGTCTGCACGCGAATCCTTCCTCATTTATGCCAAATGTTGTTAGCAAGATGCAATTTTTGGAGAAAAAATGTTGAAAATTTTATTATTCTTTATTGACTGATTATTATGACTTGACAAACTTCTACCCAATATGTTTTAGTTTTATTTCAATTTGTAAAAATAATTAGATGACTTTGGTGAAATGGGCCATATTTCATAAATTAGGTCATTTAGATTAATTTCAATTGGAATTCATTTTATTGCTTCATGATGAATTTGAATTTATTTAGCCTCAAGATAATTTGGGAGAAAAAAATTACTTTCAGGAATTATGGTAATTTTGATGTAGTTAAGGTTTAAAAATTTTTTTTAAATTTTGATTCTAAATGTCTAAAAGCCGATTATAATGCTGAAAAAGTTATTAAAATGTTTTGAAATTAAAAATTTATAAATAATAATTAATTTTTAAGTAAAAATATTATAGATTGAAACATCAGTAAATAAATAGCTTGTTATTGTAAAATTTTAAAATTACAAGCAATTTACCTATCTTCAAAAATACTGGTTGCTTCTTGACAACAACAAACACGTACACAAATTTATTCTCTATAGCCATGGCGAACGAAAAGAAAAAGTGCGGGTGGAAAAGAGGGGCGCGGGTCTTCAGCTCATTGCGCAGTTTTAATGATCGCTCGCGCAAATCTGCCGGATTCCTGCAGGACGACAAACTGGGAGGTGCATTGTTAAAAAAATGAAAACGTGTCGATGATTCGTCAGAAAAAGTCGCGAATTGGAGCAATTTCCTTGGCAAAACACTTGGCCGGAAACGCACAGCGCAGCAGGCATGAAAATTTCTGGAGAAAATAATGAGATGGAGTTTGCTCGTTTGGCTCGAGTGCCGCCGCCACTCACCAAAGGTTTAATCAAAATTTCATTTTGTTGCCGCGCGTCAGGGATGAGCGGACAATGAAACGACGCCAGGTGAAATGACAAGAAAATAAGCCACCGTCGGGGCTCAATTACGCGCGCGCCATACGCACATTTCTTGGTCGCAACGGCAACAGGTGCATTTGTGCGCCTCTTTTTCTTCCTTTCATTCTGCACCGCCATCGGCTGCACAAAGTCGCAAAGTAACAAGCGGCGGACACAAATTGACTCTGGGGTTACCTATACCGGCACGCCGGGCCAATTTCTGTAATGAGAAATCCCACTTTCTTCTATCTCGAGGGAGCATTGATTTTCCATAAGAGAATAGTGAGTTGTGTGGAAGAAAGAGTCGATCGACTACATAATGAGCCTGAAAAGCTTAAGTTGAACCACAGGTTTATTAAAAATTTTTTCGGCAAATTGCCCTACATGTAAACCAGATATGTATTGATAAATAATTAATTTCAAGGAAAGATTTCAGGAAAATAAGGAAAAATCTGGTGAATAGTAATTAAAATCCACCCAGAGATTGAAAGACAAAGTCTGGTTTTTTCAAACATTCAAGTCGTTTTGGACAATCCAATATTTTATGAACTTACTTCCAACGTTTCATTGAAATGTGGACACTAAAATTAAAACAGACAGTACGAATAATCAGTAAAACGATTATCTGCAGCCAACTGACCACAAATTATTGAATTTAAAATGAATCTGTTGCAAACAATAAAAAGGAATAATTTTATTTCCAATATAATCCACTGCCATGATTATTCCATTTGAGGTTTACGGATGCAAAATTAGTAATGGTGTATGTAATCAGATCGACAGTGATTTTCCAAGCGTGCGGTGAATGAAAAGTTCATTTGTGTGCTTTGCACTAATTACATAGAACGACGCGTTGATTACGCTTTTTATCCTATCAGTTCACATATGCATGAATTCTGTTAATGGGTTGAATGCAGATGAAAACTATAGGCTCACTGGAACATGATAGCGATAGCAAATAGACACACGTATCTGCCTCACCAATTTATGAAACTTTAATTTGTCAGCTAAAATTCGATAATCAGTCAAAATAACTCGACAGAGCGTTTCAATATCACTTTAATCCGGTCTCGTGGCGCAAATTAAATGCATATAGTTTTTTCTTCCGTCATTCGTATGATGTAAAACCACTAATAATTGCAAAAAGAGGAGTAGGAAGAAAAACGTTTTATAAAATATCTAATTTTCTGCGTGAGCAGAAATATGTAATTGATTACAGCTTATATTTCAATCAAAATATAATATTAATGATTAGCACTGGTTCAATAAAATTTTTATATTTTTAGTTTGATTTTTGTCAAATTTAAACTTGAATATTCTTTAGATTTCAAATTTTAACCATTAGACAGTTTAATAGCGAATTTTTCAGCTACAATTTTTCTTTTTTAACCATTAAATTTTGTAATATTTTTTAATTACAACTAAAATTGCATGGTATGCAGGATGGAATGATATTTTTCTACAAAATTACGCGACTTTTGAGGCTCAAATTTTAGTTGAAAAGTTATTTTCCTATAAGTGATCAAATTTTGCAATAATAAGTTTAAAGAGCAGAGATCCATTAGTAAACATTATTTGCAACTAACCCGACCCTATTGAAATTTAACATGTACTAAAAGTTATCATATAAATATGGGTATTTCCGTGGAAATAATAGGCCTGCTGGGCTAAGCGCGAATTGAGCCGCATTGGCCCTGAACGGGTTGTTTAGGCCAGTTTCTCTTGTACTCGCACATAACTCACGAGTGCGCAAGTTGAATAGGCGAACGGATAATGCGAATTTAACTCGGCCGCTTCCGCGTCGCGCGTCGCTTCAGCGATGAAATTCTGTTTTGCTAAACTGCGCCGCCAGATATTTTGCCAGCAGAGAGAAAGAGAGAGGATGTGCCTAAAATATGCACAGCACTTGAGGCTCGGCTTTTATACGTGCGTACCAACCAAGACTAATGAAAATTCGGCGTCGACACAGGCGATATTATTTTACGTGTCAATGCGGGTGAGCAGGTTCAAGTGGTCCAAAACGCCATCGGCTGGAGGTGGAGTTTGCAAGATGCGTATAGAGTCGTTTCTGGAGAGGCATCAATTGCATAAATTTACGTATCATTGGTTTTTTCCTCAGTTTCAGATGCAATGAAACAACACATTAATTAACAAAGCTGGATTTTAGTAATGAATAATGAATGTCTAAACCCAAAATTAAAATGAATTAATAGATCTGTTGAAATCTGTTAACAAAAATTTTAATTAATAAATTGTAAATGCATAGTTATATTTTAAGTGTTATTGAAAAAAGATTTTAATTTATTTATATTATTACCTTAATTATATTTACTATAATGAATTTTAAAATTTATTTTTATATTAAAAGTAAATTATCCTAGGGAAAATGTATGTATCAAAAGCCTACTAATAAAAAGGTTTATATGTTAAAAAAAATTTAATAAATACTGATACACATCTAGTAAATTTTATTACAAAGAATATATTCAAATTTCAAATTCGCGTAGAGTTCCTTGAATTTCATTAGCTATATAATTTGATAAAGGAGATTCATAGTAAAATTCAATAATATGTATATGCAATTCAAAGGAGCCGGGCAAAGTGTAGAACAAAGCGCGAAGGAAGGGGGTGCGCGCACGCTCCTGGCGTCGAGGGTGCGTCTGGTGCACGTTCTGCGGACCAGTTCGCCGGCACAGTAGTGGTTCAGTCGGCCAACGTCTCGCACCGCAGCCCCCGAGCTATTGCTCTCAAACGCCTCCTCAGGCCTTCCTTGTTCCACTCCATTAAAAGGGTGAAACTTCTTCAAGGTACGTTTGATCTTTTTTTAGTTATTTAATATTCATAACAAAAACAGATTTTCAAAGTAAGATTTTAGTTTTATAACAAAATATTTGTAAATATTTAAAATAATCATATCATAAAAAATATAATTTATGATTCCCTTTTGTCCCATTTTGTAATTTTTTTCAATAGCTATTTTAAATTTATGGGAATTTTTTTGTTTACCTTAAATTCCTTTTTACTTAATGTTTTTAGTTTAAGCCGATTGAGCTTCATTGTATATCATGCGGAAGTTATATCGCGAGTTCTTTCCATACCCTATTTGTTTTATCTGTATTGTACTAATGATTAATTCGCAAATGAAAAAACATCAGATATTATATAATTAACTCATTAAACAGCAAGAAGACGGTTTCTCTGAAAGAGTTCTATTTCTTCCTTGTTCAATAGAAATACTGAAGTGGTCGTTTATTAGCACTACTCGTGACATTCTACTCGCGCTTTTGTGATCCTTAGACGACTCTTGTCTTTAATTACGGCCGCCTTCCTTTTCGTTATTCACTCTGGTAAAAAAATTCTGGGAAGAGCGGAGCATTATTTCAACGAGTTAAAAGGCTCGATTCATCATGCCATTTAAATATTTAACGAGGAGAGCGTTCGCGGTTTTTCCCGTGCTTGGCCGATTTTCATTTACAGACTCGCGAGCCCCAGTCGACCGGTCGGTCCACAAATCATCTCTCCGAAAAGCTCTTACGTGAGTCGAATTCGCAGTCCGCTTTTCTCGAAATGAAAAAAAAGTAGATTTGAAGGTATGTGCGTATGTATTTGGCCATGGGTATTATTAAAAAAAGTGAAAAGTGCCCATCTTCGAGCAGCTTTTTGCCGCCGACCGACCCTCGAAATCAATTTGCGAGCTGCGTATTCTTTGACGGCCGCTTTCAATTTCCGTTTTCTGCTGAGCGCATATATTTCTGGCTCATTAAAGCACGGCGACGTCGGCCCTCTTCCGCCCCAGCCGACCATCTAATCCCACGGCAGAAAACATATTTTCCGCCTAGACTCTTCTCTCAGGCTGGAAAAGTAAAAGCTCCGTCCCTCTCTCTCCGGGAGCTGCGAAAGCCGATTGCTCATTCGTTTTATTGTGCCGGGGAATTTGCCCGACTGTTGCACCCGTTTGCGCCGCGCCGGCCTCTGCGCTTTAATGCGTCGTGCCAAATATTTGCTCTTCGCAGCACAGAAAATAAGACCCATTCGCGCAGCAATGCAATTAACACAGACTCTGATGGAGACGTTTTGCGACAGACCCAACACTCTGCCCTTAATGGACTGAAAATGTCGCAAATCCTAAATCATTAATTTTTTGCTGCGTTAAAATTTTTTTCATTACTTAACGAGTTGAAATGGTTGATATTTTTTGTATCTTTCATAAACTATTTCTTCGCGATCAAAATTGATAAAAATTTAGGAATTAATGAAGCAATTTATGAGGTTAATGAACCTATTTAGTTGGTCTCTAAGAAAGAAAAGTTTTTATGTTGGTTTCAGAGAAACTCACTTTGCAATGCTTTCCCTGTTTTTGATGGAATAATTAAATAAAGTGCAAATTAAATTATATTTTTTTTTCTTTGTGCTCAAATTTAATTTTAACAGAAGTCCTGACGGAAAATGGTATAAATGAGAGGGGAAAAGGGAAGCAAACTGACAAGTTTTTAATTAAAAAAGTTAATAAAGTAGAAATTACAAAATATAAGCTATAAGGAAAATTATTGCTATTCAGTGCGAGGCATACTTTAGAAAAAAATATTTTTTGAATTTTTTTTAGTAAAAAAGGTTGATTTGAATGTCAGACGAACTTATCTTGAAAATAGGGTATACTTTAATGAGACGTTTCCTTTCTTCCAAAATAAATGTTTTTTCAACAATTTGTTAGTAAACAATGTGATGTAAAAATTTGGACAAATAAACAACAATAACAATAATAATAATAAAATAGATATTGTGTCAAGGAAGCACACAACATAAATGAATGTATTAATAGAAACTTGGCATTTCCTTGGTGAGTGGTGCGTGGCACGATTTTAATGGGGAAAGAACATAAATATGATAAATAAAGCTTTTGAATAATATCTGCAGTCTGCAGCCTAAAAAAGCTAAGCTTACTTAGTGTTTTGCTTTAATTAAACAGTTTTTTAGGGCATATATAGAGTGTGGAAAATTACAGGAGAAGAATGTCATTTCATTTATCTTGGTGTTTCACCTTTAAATGCGCTAACAGAAACACGAGTAAATAGAGTAAAATAAATAGTATTATAACAAAACTAGAAAGAATTTTGTCGAGCACAAAAGTTCAGAATTTCAATAAAACATTTCTTAATTCAAAGTTTCAATAATATTAAATTTACATCAATAATTAAAAAAAAAGCTATTTTATTTTTAGAAGAAATTGAAATTTGGATCATTTGAAAAAAATAAGAATAAAAGATTAAAATGACTCAACAAACATAAACGTCTCATGTTTCTCTTCATTCTAATTGAGATTTAAACCTACAACGAGCAGTTTAATAGTGGTGTTTTTATTGGAGAGACAAAACAAATGTAAAATATCATTCTCATTCATCAGCTCTTTTCAACACATGTCAGGCGCGCCAACGTCGACGAAGCTTTTCATCCACACCGCGTCAGAGGAAACGTTAAAAAGCCTGTGCAATGTGACAACACATAACAAAAGGCGCGTGCGGTGGGCGCTCAACTGCAGCCCTGAACGCAAAAAGTGTCCCCTTCATGGCGGATTTGCAGAGAGGCAACGTGTAGGCAACCGGGAGTGACAGACGAGACGGGCGGGCGAGTGCATATGCCAGGCGCTTGATTATTTCACGATTTGCAACCGCGCGCTCTCTTTGTCGGTCTTTTTCTGAGAGGTACTTCTTCTCGACTTGCACAAACACTCGTGTCCCTGCATTAAATTCAAACCTTGCTCATTTAATCGCACTCACGTTACGTGCGCGGGTGTCACAAGTATGTCCTTACCGGAGGCGAGAGAAAAAAAGAAAGCTCGACAAGTGGTTTTGCAGACAGAATTAAATTTCACAATTTTTTATTTAGTAAAATTAAAATTAATGAGGCCTAACATGGCGGATTGAAGTAGCCTGGATCAGGCTAGACTTGTGAATTGTCTTCATTATTCAGGTTATTAATTTATATCTAAATCTTACGGAATAAAACAAAGATCTGTAAATTTAAGTATCATTTATAGAGTAGGTATTAAATTTGTTTCTCTTGAAGATAGATTTAATGAGGATGCCTGATAGTGTTAAAATATTGTGGGTTCAACTTCTAAATGTGAATAAATATTTATCTTTGGTTCTTTGCCTATGAAAATCCCACCTAAATTGGTTTGATGATTAGAAATTAGTATAAAAAAAACTTTTTTATCTTCAATTACACAAGCAAATAAATTCTGGGTACGACTAAAATGTACTTATTTTTAAAAGGGCAATTTTTTAGCATTAATATAAGATAATAGCCAATATCACTATGAAAAAGTGAAAAAAAAAGATAAAAAAAAAATTAAATTTACACCCTAATTTCCTTTTTTTATAACCTATGAAATGATGATAATGTCGATGTCAATGATAAATCATGATAAATCAATGCAAATCAGGGTTCATTTTAATTCAGGTACATGATATGTTGAAAACAGTAAACCTTGGAATTTTCTGAAAGGAGTTTTAGATCAAGTGATATTGAGATTTGACTAAAATTTATAGCAAAAATCTCATAATATTCAAAATATGCCCACAGCTTTTGGTGGCATAAATGGGTTTTCAATGATGAGATGCTTCAAACAATATAAACCTGATGAAAAGAATCAGCTTTCAATAATTTCAAATTCTTAACTTTTATGAAAACGTCAAGCATAAATAATTGTATTGAAATCAGATTCAAATTTTTAAATTCTTTATATATTGAAATTTAAAAAAATTTGGCATTTTTCAAGTGAACAATTTTGGTGATTTGAATTTTAAATCAACTTTTCCTCGATGGGCTTTGTGCATTGTTTATTGTATAAGAAAAAAAACAATATCCAGCCATGAATAATTTTTAATGAAATTCAACACATTGATGACGTCAATCCACTTGAAAATCAGACACTGTTTTTAGTTAAACAAAAATTACAAATATTAGCAAATAACAATTTCGATACTAAAAAATCACACTTCCCTTCTTGTATTCACTTCACTGATTCTAAATTTGCATATCCCAAATGCATTTTTTTCCAATTCCACTAGAACTGACGAAGCACAGTTTTTTTTAACCCCCAGGGCTTCAGCGATAATTTAAAAACGGCGCTCACGCACAATTGATCTCGGCACAAATTTTCGCGGCCCAGTCCGTTAATCCTGCTTAACGATGACGCTACTTACTTGGTGTTCATTATTGGAGTCCGGGGAGGTCGGAGATGTACCAGCAGCACTGACCGACCCCGAGATAAATCTCGGCAGGGCATATTTTTTTAATCGAGCCACCGCGGGGGTTGATAATAATATACGACCGTGTGCGCACCATTGCTCTCTGGACCTCGGTGCCGGCCGCGCATATTTATATGAAAAAGGGCCGGCCTAGCGCTGACTTTTTTTATTATATTTTTCCGCGCGCAAATATGACATAAAACCTGTGTAGATTTTAATTCGGGAGCACTAAAAAGAAAAATATACGAGAGTTGGAAAAATGAAAAATTTTCTGCCACACATGAATAAATTCATTCCCTGCACGGTCGTTCCATAATGTAATCCCAGAGTCCGCCGCCGCGAAATAACACCAACTTTTCCCCGTCGGAAAAGCGTAGTCGGCGCTCAAGGGAATTCATTTTTGTCTCTGCTTGTTAATTGAAGCCATCAGCAATGAGAGAGCATCGCACAAAAAAAAAACACACCGATTGATTTTTTTTGCACATTTATATAAAATACCGATGAAGAGAAACGCACTCGGGCGTGTTTTCAGTCTTTCTCTCTTTCATTTATGGCTG